AATGAGACTCAAACAAAAGCCATTGTAATATTATGATTTTCTATTCCATTAGAAAAATATAGCTATTGTTTAATTAACTTAATCCCAGCCAACTGTGCCATGAGACACCTTAATTACTCATTTAACCAAAAAATATTAACTATGTGGCAACATGTAAATTGATAGAAGTGGGTTAATTTAGGTTGTAAGAGCTAGTTAGTAACAAGCCTAAACTATTGGCCAGGCATTTATAATTAGTAATAAGTCTCTGTATGGTTATTTGGGAGCTAGTTGGTGGGACAGAATATTGCGCCTATACATAGCACCCAATGTGGGGCACCTACATCCACAGACATAGGGAAGAAAGCCAAAAAAGACTACAGGACAGGTGTTGTGTATGCTGATCCCTTGACACTGGAACAGCTCAAAGATGAGATGAGACATGATAAATCTTGTTGGCTACAAAGTCCTCATGACTTATTATTGTATGTCATACTTTCATATGGCATGGATAGAGATTTATATTACAGTTTGATTATACAGTCCAAATGGACTTATAAAATTGACAGATGCATTTTATCTGCTCAAACATAAAACAAAAGATCATCTTTAATTGACTTGTGCATACTGCACATTCCATACTTCTGTTGATATAGATATGTATGTTACCCTTGACAGTTTATGTGTTTTAAGAGCAAGGGGACTAAACACCAATAAAATCACATGGCCTAAGTGATCCAGCCTCTTGGAGTGCCTCTGCTGTAGTTTCCTCAGAGTTCTGCATTTAGAACATCTTCAAGTCTGCTGGCTGAGATGGTCCAGCCTCACAGAATACTCTAACCAGTATTTCAGATAAGCTTTGCACTTTCCCATTTGCACAGAGACTGGACAACAAATAGCACAATTAACTCTCTTGGGATCTGACCATTATCCTGATTTGCCCACGGCCTCCTAAAGAACCCAGTGTCCCCAGTCAACAAGGAGCAGTCTAGAGAAAACAACACCAACATTCCCAAGACATGGGTTATGGATGTTTGTCACCATCTGAGGAGGTTGGTGACAAGTTGCTACTAGTCATGGTCTGGAAAAAAAGTTTTAAAAGGGAGTTAGACTCAAGGATCTCTTTCTGAAGAAAAAAAAGGGTATATAGTATAGATATGATGAGATGAAACGGTAGATTATTGAATCTACTTTAATCCAAAAAGTTACTATCAATCTCACAATATTTTACATTGGTATGGATTTTGGTTTATTGATACAAAATTGAAGTTATTTTTGTTATACTATATGTATGTTTCTACTTTTTTGGGGGATAAATTGTGTTTATACAGCTCATTTAAATTAAAAATATAGGTTAGTAGTTACTCATCTATAAAATCAAACTTGGGCCAGGTGGTGGTAGCACATACTTTAATCCCAGCACTTGGGAGGCAGAGGCAGGCGGATCTCTGTGAGTTTGATGCCAGCCTGGTCTCCAAAGTGAGTTCCAGGACAGGCACCAAAACTACACAGAGAAATCCTGTCTCGGGGGCGGGGGGGGGGGGCAAACTTGTAGTCATATTAAGTATGTTTTCAAGGTCAAACATATATTTAGATAAATAGATGGTCTTCAAACACCTCAAATACCTACAGATTATGGCATTTAAGATGTTTAATAACCTGAGGTTTTTCATGACCCCACCAGCTCCATATTTTGCTTTCACACATTCTCTGCCTCCCACTAATGCCATCCTAAGGATTTAAGGTTTCAACAACCAGGCCTTTCACTGGCATTCAAGACCCAAGCCATAGTGCTGAATGAAGTAAGAACATCACTAGCCAGGTTTCTGCAAAGTAAGCTTGCTATTTAAAGAAACTTAGTAGCACCAGCTTCTAAATCCAGGTTGCCGAAGCAACAAAAAAGCCAACACACGTGTGTGCATTATACAACAGAACACTTGGTATAGCTGTAATCATTTCTGCTTTTTCCAAAAAGAACTAGAGATGTGATGGGAACAAATGCACCACCAACTCTGTACAACTGCCTTTTGGATGTGAAAACAAAAGGGATGTTGCCAGGCAACCAACTTTATTCCAGACCAAGTTCTAATCATTGTCACAACTACTGCAGACTCTGTCAGAACATTATATCATGTACTTTTACTTACTGCATTGCCAGGGGATTCTAAATCTCAAACAATGTAGCTATGGACAACAAGCTGTCTTTACTTTGTGTCTAAAATCTTCCTTTCTCAAGTAATTCATTCCAAAATCAGATGGTAGAAAAGCTTCAGAAAAATGAAAGGATTATGGCATAGGAGATGACTGACATAAAGGCTTAAAATAATATGATACGTTTAGTGTAATCACAAAATATTTCCTCCTGGGATAAATGAGGAAAAAGCTCTAGAAGACATTTTTTAAAAGTTATTTGTAAGATTGAAATATCTTTAATTTTCTGCTTCTTTTTCTCTTTTCCAAATGACAGGAGTAAAGTTATGGTGAAAGAAGAGCCACTAAGCAGTAACTCTCAGCCATGCTCACAAAGGGCTTGGCCTTGTAAGCCTCTGGATAGATCAGCCACAGCACAAAGGAACCTGCAGGTTGGGAGACAAATAAGTAAAGAAAGAATGGTGGTTCATGGCCAGGCATCATGGCTCATAGTTGCAACTCTAGCACTCAGAGAAATGGGGCAAAACACTGGAAAGTTCAAAGTTGGTGTGGTGGTGTGAAAGAAAATGGCCCCTAAAGGGAGTGGCACTGTTAGGAGTTGTGACCATGTTGGAGTAGGTGAGGTATTATTAGAGGAAGTGTGTCACTGTGGAGGCAGGCTTTGAGGCCTCATATATGTTCAAGACATTGCCCAGTGTCTCAGTTGACTTCTTGTTGCCTGCAATATGTAAGACTCTCAGCTGCTTCTCCAGCAGCAATCTGCCGGCATGATGTCATGTCCCACGATGATGATAATGGACTGAACCTCTGAACTGTAAGCAAACTAGCCCAATTACATATTTTCTTTATAAGAGTTGCTGTGGTCATGGTTGTCTCTTCATAGCAATGGAAACCCTAACTAAAACAGCCGGCCTGGTCTAGATGGAGGAGACTCTGTCTCCAGAAACAGACCATCACCAACAAAGAGAGTCAGATTCCTTCACCCATGAATCATTTGAAATCACTCTCAAGGATTTTTTTTCTTCGTGAGTACATATGTGTGCATGTTTATATGTATATGTATGTATGTGGGTAAGGAAGGTAGAAGACAGCCATGAGTAACATTCCTCAGGAATTGCCCACCTTTTGAGACAGGGCCTCTCGTTGGCTTGAAACTCACCAGCTAAGCTTGGCTGGCTGGCCAGCAAGCCCCAAGGACCTGCCCATCTCCACCTCCCTAGTGCTGGGATTACAAAAGCATCATGCCACCATACCTGGCTTTATTTACGTGGGTTCTGAGGATCAAACTTTGGTCCTCATGTTTATAAGGCAAGCACTTCACCAACTGAGGCATCCCTCCACCCCATCCCACCCTGTCCCACCTCATCCCATCCCATCCCATCCCATCCCATCCCATCCCATCCCATCTCAACTCATCCCAACCCATCCTACCCCACCCACCCCTGAGCACAATTGCAAGATTGCTATGTTCCTTTTCAGTAATAAGAAGTCTGTAGTGAGAAATTATTACCTTCAGTCCAGCACATCATAACTCAAAACTATCATTATAAACTTCAATTTCCATGTAAAAACTCTACCTTCCTCTACCAGAAAAGCTACAGAGGAGGAGGTGGACTGTTGGCTTCCTTTCCCCTGGTTTCATCAAATGTTCTATTTACTGCCTTGTCTTCCTGTTTCCCCTTGGGAGAGAGTGATAAGAGCATGTACCTGTGCTATGTAGGGCCCCCTCTCACCCCTATGCTTTTGAGGGTTTTCTAGCCATCATCTCATCTGAGGAAGGTCCTTCTCACAAGGTGTCACTCAGCTTCCGGAGTCCTGTAAATCTTCATGGTTAGAAGTCCATCACCAAGTATCCTAATTAGCTTCAGCTGTCAAGCTTCACACACCCTATATCTGTTGGGGTCTCAATTGAGAGACTGGCCAGAACAGAAGTCTATGCCATGTCTATGAGAGATTATCTTGATGACTGAGGTGGAGGGGCACAGCTCACTGTGAGTCACATCATCCCTAGGTAGGTGAATCAGGGCTGTATGAGAAATCTAGCTGAACAGCAGCCTGTGAACCAGCAAAGAGATAGCCAGTAAGCAGCTTTCTTCCATGGTTCCTGCCTCCAGGTTTCTCCTCCATGATCCTGCCTGAGTTCTTGCCCCTCATTAATGGGCTGTGGCCTGAAAGTGTGAGCAGAATAAACCTTTTCCTCCCCTGAGTAGCTTTTGGTCAGAGTTTTATCACAGCAACAGAAAAGCAAACTTACACAGTTAAGTCTTCTTACATAGGATTACAGGTGCGTGCCACCACATACAAAACAGGGGAATTCTCCATGTTTCTAATGTTTTAATTACAATGGACCGAAACTATTCCTTGCACTGGTTTTCAGATCCCCCAATACACATATGAAGAATAGTTTTATTGTTTTTTTTGGGGGGGGAGTTAAAAGTCAACAAAAATTGTAATTCCCCTTTCAATTACTGAAATCTGTAGGAATGATTCCAGCTTATGCCAGAATCTATCATGCTAAGCTGCTGTGCAGAGGATAGTGCCTATGTAGGGAGCAAGCCTTAATTTACCATGTAAACGTGTAAAACCAATGAGTTTACTTTGCCAAATTTCACTATACAATCTGCAGGACAGATAAAGATCAAACAGAGATATTAAAAAAAAAAATGGAGGCGGAGCTCAAAGACCAAGAAAGAATAAGCACAATTTACAGTTAGTTGAAACAACCCCGAAGTTACAGAGCTTTATCAGATTTGAGTTTTGGGGGAAGACTACACAGATTCTAGGAAAGTGCAAGCCATGGCAGAGCTGATGCCAATCAAGCTTTCCCGCGGTGATCGTCAGCCAATCCGGGGCTGCTAGCGGACACCGTTGGGGCGTGTCCCGCTGCCGTTACTCCCAAACAGGAGCGAGGACAGGGCCAGTGAGAGATCTTGTGGCCCCTCCGGATCCAAGCCTGGCTTCAGTGCTGAACCATCAAGCTGGAGTGGTGCTGGGTGCTGTATCATCCATTTATCAGTCTTGCTCCATCCCTGACCCCAGAGAAACAGCCCTCAGAGTCCAAAGGTTTGAAGACAACGGATAGGGTTATCAATTCTCCTTTCGTCCTAAGAATTTTCTCAGCTTCTGTAGTTACTGGGTCATTGTTCCCATGATGGAAATTTTATACAGAGGATCCCAGACAAGCCATTTATCTGGGCGTCACAGGACAACTTTTGGTAAGGAGATGACAGGGTTTCTTCGTAGGCTAAGGCTGGTAGCCTTTGCTTAGCCTGTAAGGCAAAGGGTATGCACATGCACTTTCAATGAAAGCGGTCGGTCGTCATCAACAAAACCAAGGCTCAAAATCAAAAGGAAAAATGAAGCCGGATACTCTACTTCTCCACCAGATCTGCCCCTCCCTCCCTGCAAAAGGAGACATTTCATTAAAACAAAGCAAAACAAACAAATACAACCACAAACCGAAACCAAACCCTGGGGGGTGGGGGGTGGGAGGTGGGGGGGGCGGTTGTTCTGCAAGCCTTGCTGGAGAACATAGGGTAAAACAGTTCTTGGAAATGACACATAGATGCAAAGCCACACCTGAGTACCTTTTGCCCTTTTCCAAATATCAATGACTGAGTTGTGAATAGGACACAGAGAATATGGATTTTTTTTTTAATGGGGGTTTTGTTTGCTTGTTGCTTTTCTTTGGTAAATAGTGACCTGTCTGTTTGCCTTATGTGCAGATGGGAAGAAATTGCTGACCCTCTGGACCGTGCTTTGTGGTGGTGTTATTATTCTTCTTTGGGGGTTTTTCAGTTTTCCTAAAAAATGTAAGTGATCATTTTCCTCTGGCCACTTTACCTCCTAGAAGATCAGTCTTTTGATACATAGGCTGTACTCAGTGCCAGCAGCTGCTGATTCATTCAGAAATGCGATTTCTTTTTCTTTTTTTTTTCCCTCTCACTGGATATGACAATCGCAAGTAAACAGCTGTGGAAGAGTAGAGCAAGTGCAGAAGTTGGTTCAGTTTGAAGCAGGAGGAGAGGGGGTTATGTATGAGTCACGGTGGTCAGGTAAAGCTTTATCAAGAGCTGTGTGTGTGTGTGTGTGTGTGTGTGTGTGTGTGTGTGTGATATTCATGTCAGAAAATCAAGCCAGCTATAACGGTGGTGGAGGCAAAGAGCAAAGGGAGGTTATACTGTGCTGCATTTCCAGAGTGGGTTAACCGTCACTGCCACAGGTGAGCGTGTGGCGCCTTATTCTAACAGAAGCAGTGGTGAGAGACATCTCCTACCACCACCGCCACCACCAAACAGATTCTCCTGGCATGGGGTGTTCGGATTTTACACTAGATGCTGTATCATCTTCTTCCGTTGATAGCACTGCCCTTTTCTCTCTCATACACCATTGTTCATTGTCCACTGCCACATCGTTATCGGCAATATAATAAGATCATAGCTTACCCCCAAATTAAATGAAAACAAAAAATCTCATCAGCCCCTACTCTTCATATAAGTTCTGCTTATGTTTGCTGCATGAGACAGAAACCTCCTTGACATCTTTTTTTCCTGTTGTTCTCCTCTCCTGCTCCTCTGCTCCCTGCCTGCCTGCCTTCCTCTCTTCCATTCATTCACCCACCCTTCCTTTCTCTCTTCAGGGTCTGCCATTAGACTACATCTCCAGCTCAAACTGCTAAGTTTTGCTTGGTCTAGCTCAGTTTTCTGTGAAGACAATTGGTGAACCTGGGCCTTGCTCAAGCTCAGCAGGGGCCCTTGCCATGGGGCTAGACCCCAGCACCCTTCCTGTCCAAAAGTTCTATTAAACCCACTTTGATCAGGTTTCTGCTTCTGCTTTTCTCATGAAACCGGTGGTCAAGTTTACCAAAAATGCTAGTGCCACTAATTCTGGTAGCTGTCATCTGTTTAATCTTATTTGACGATTCACATTCATTTTAAAAAATATTCTATCTTCCGAAGTTTCATACTGTTCTACAACATATTTTGATCCTATCCATCTCCCGCGGGCCGTTCACAGTGGCTCCCTTCCAGTTTCATGCTCTTCCTTTTGTTGTTGTGATTTTTGTTGTTGTGATAATCCTCTGGATCCAGTTAGCACTGCCTGTATCTAGATATGGACCACCTACTTGCAGCCATGTCCCCAAGGGTGAGTCACTCCCTCCCTCTGCAAGGGTCCACAGTCAACCCAACAAGGGTGGGGTCTCAGAGAGAGGCTCCCTCATTAATGTTGGAATTTTCACAGGCTTGATATTGAGAAAAGTCTTTTCGAAGCAAGAAGTGGTTGATGCGGCTACAGATATCTGGTCAAACTACCAAGTATAAGTTACTGTGTGTGAGTGTCCGCTGTGGATAAATCATCTATACTAACCTTCCCCCATCCAAGGCTCATATAATTTCACAGAAGAGTGAGTGGAAACTATGTAACTCCTGATGGATACGGAAAAGAGCTATGAAATGTTGACTTCTCTATATCAGGTGTTGCTGGCATCATCTCAGATCAACTCTGCTGGATCTTCACATGTTTTAAAACTCCTTCCTAAAGATAATTTCATTTAGCCTTCAGGTCAGTGCACTCCCACTGTTTGTGTCCTGCCTACGCCACTGCTGAGTTTATTTCCTTTCCTCGTTCCTTCCTTTCCCTCTGCACTTATGGGCCGTGTTCAAACGTGTCTCGTCATGCATCCAATCTTTGAAGCATTGTTGGCCTGTTGGCCTTCTGAACTGGTCTCAAAACTTCATCACATAAATGCATCTCCAATCTGGGACACTTCTCAAAATCAATCATTTTTTTTTAAAACCAATCTAACTACTTGATTATCTAATAAATAGCTCAAACTTAATAATGTTCATGCTGAAATATCTCTCCCTCTCTCCCCCTCCCCGGGAATATGCAAGAGTATGGGTTCCCATAGAAGTAAGCCTTGGATATCTGTCTTCAAGACTCATCCAGCTTGTTTTGGAGAAAAAGGCCCCTCTAGGTTTAGCTGGCTAGCCAACACCTCCCAGGAATCTGCCACTCCCCTCCTGGGATTACAAGACAGTGTAACCACACCCAGCTTTTCCTGTGGGCTCTGGAGATTTAATTCAGGTAGTCATGATTCAGTGGCAAACAGTGTATTAGCTGAGCTGTGCCTCAACCCCCAAACTCTTCATCGCTCTCTCTTCTCCCATGTCCTTTATCTGTGGTCCTCCTCATCTCAGGGAACAGTAAATATATTCTTCTAACTTCAAAGTAAATAAACCTTATGTAATTTTTAACCCCGCCCCCACACTTTCCAAATATAATCAGTAAACTGTGACTCTCCTTTCACTGAGCCAAATGTGAACTCTCTCCATTCACTTCCCGTTAACTAGCCAGCACCTCATTCCCTTCTCTGACTCTGATGTTTGTCTCTTTTCTACCCCTGATCTCTTAAAGCAACTGTGGATATATCACATAGTAATACACTTTCTAGGAATGAGATTTTTACATCCTTTCTTTCCTCCCATGACTTTATAATTAAAAGTGAATTAGATTTGAACTGGCCACATTTCAAGGTTCTTCTAATCACATATGACTGATGGCATCCATATGGACAGAGCTTATTTTCAACAATTAAGAAAAATTATCCGACCTGTTGGAAATTTTACACAGTTTTTCATTCACTTAGAGCCAAGTCTTATGGGTGGCTACACTGCCCTTAATGCACATAGTCACCCTAGACTACTGATGTCCTGCATTACTTAATCCTTCACTTAGGCTGTAGGAATGTGGACATCTTCATTATTTGGTGAACAAGCCAGGCACACTCACCTCAAACCTCTGCATCATCTCTTCCCATTGATTAGAAAAAAATGTTCTTACCCTGGAGGCAGAAATACCTCCCTGTAGTGGGTAGCTGTTCCAGCTTTGATCTGAAAGTACCACCCCCATTGAGGCTTTGGTAATTGTCCCGCCTACAAGGCAGAGCCAAGAGAGGACCCCTGAAGACCCTAGATCTGGATGGGCTGGCTCTCTTGGTTCCTGGACCCTAAACACTGGAAGAAGACCGAGCAGAATTCTCCGGAGAAGACCCTGTAACCTATCCCTTCACTTGTAAGTTACCCCACAAAATAAACCTCCCATTTAACTATGTGGACTTTCCTTAATATTTTAACCAATACCTCCCCATCCACCTTTCTTCAGGTCTTTACTAGGCATCACTTTTGTCTAACCCTACCCTGAATGTTGTGCTAGTATCCAGCTGTCATCCTTATCCCTTGACCTGGTTGTACTTCATGAGAAACTGTGTGGTTCCAGGCATGCAACTTTCATAAAAGCATGTTATATTTCATGTATTCCAAGAGCTACAAAAAGATAAATGTCTGTCACAAGGTAAGTGCTCACTTTGGATGTGGTTGGATATGCAAACGAAAGAAAAAATAAGCTAGTAGATGAATGATAAGACTGGATTTCTGATAGTCAGGTTTGAACCAACTATTCAACATTGACAGTAGTTGTTTATTTGAACCCAATGTTTTAGAGTAATTTGGGATTTTCTTTTTTCAAGCAATTTTAGTGAAATATGTGTTTTTGCTGTACTGTCATATCAGGTTTTGTGTATATAGAACCTTACTGTTAATTAATGCTTCCAACTGAATAGTCTCCTATTTATGGACTTGAGTAGGAGACGGTCACCTATTGGTTTTTGTTTTTGTTTTTTTTTTTTCCCCCAGGCTTTGGGGGAAAGTACCTTCAATACTGTTTCTCTCAGAGTTATTCACAAACAAGTAACTTCATATATCTAGTGCTTTGAGTTAAGGAGTAAATGGGAAAAGTTGTAAAAATTTTTTCAGTGTTTTCCCCTTTTCTGTTTTATTTCCTCAAGAACAAAGGATAAAGTAATAGCATCAACTTTTAAGGAAATGCTGTTTCTGAGAAACAATTGAGTATTGGTTAGGTCAATGGGAGAGAGCCAATGTTTTGATGTTATGACTATAGAGGAATCCATTTGTGGTAAAATATCTCAGATGGCATATCCAGTTTTAAGAGAAGAAGTGAAAAAGTAAATAATATCCAGTAGTATAAAAATATCAGAGAAAGAGTCAGAGGACATTACATTTCTCGAAGCTGGTCACTACTATTTTAAGTTACACGTAGATCTTGATTCTCCAAGGCTTCTTTCTCTTGCTATGCTCTTGGTTGACCTGTCATCCCTGAGTTAATGGCTAAAGCCTCTTGAAAGTCATTTCAGTCTCTTGACTGAAATGGGATGTGAAAGTGAAATCCTTTTTATCAGTGTGAAATATAGGAGACTATTTACAATGGAAGTCAGACTCTTTTCTCTTACAGTTTCTTCATGTCATGTGTTCATTTTAGTTGGAGCCACAAGAACAGTCAGAAATAAGACGTGTGAGGATGAAATGAAGATATGCATGAATTCCTGGAATAAACTTAATCAGAACTGCTTCTTTATTTTCCAACATAAAAATTCATGGCTCACTGCACAGGAGACCTGCCAGCACTATGAAGGAGATCTGGTTAAATTCAACGACAAGATTGAATTGGTTAGACTTCCCACTTAGCATACTGAGTAGTTAAGACACAGATCTTTTGCCTTTGGGGGAGTTGGAGCTCAGAAGGAAAGAAAGGCAACTAGAAATAATCAAAGAAAATACATAAATTACACAATATATTAGATACAATCAAAGTATGTTATCACTTCTCCAAGGGGGTAGATTGGCAACAAGGTCACATTTCCTTGAAATAATGACATTTGAGCAAAGGAATAAAATTGAGGTGATGAAATCTCTGGGGGAAATAAATCAGCTGCAACACAGGGTTGAGGCAGGTAAATGCTTGGGATAGCTGAGGAACTGAAGATAGACAGGCAATCCCCTTGTTTACAGCTAAGGAGTGAGTATGGGTATGACCACAAGAGTTTTGTAGGCCATTACAGAGACTAGTTTTCTGTTTCAGGAAAAGCAAGGAGATATTTCAGGATTAGGGTCAAAAGTGCTATACCTCAGTCTTAACAGACTCATTTTCTTTGCTGTAACAAATATAAAGATAGGGTGGTAGGTCCTTGGCCCCCTGCAGGACCTGGTAAGAGCATGATGGACTCAGACAAGGGCAGTGCCTTTTCATGTCCTGAGAATGAGACTGCTAGGAGATGTCCCTGATAGTGCTCTGTTTTGTCACAGGAAACTTTGATGCATCATGTGCAGGCACTCGGATCTTCAGCGTGGATTGGGCTGAACAAACGAAATATACGCAAATCCTGGGTTTGGACAGATGGAAGTAAATACAATAATTTGTAAGCCTTCATAAGATTTATTTAGTGTTAATTGTAAACCATAGTCAAAATTCTAACTCTCTAAACAGCTACATCTACTGTTCCTTAACGACATTTCCTAAAGAGGCCCTGTGTGTCTCTTTGTGTTTAATTGGGTTGTACCTATCTTCCTTTTCTTCTAGACTGGACAGAATTCTAGGCAGTTTAATTCTTCCCTGAGTACAGTTTACTCTTGCGTGTATGTGTATGCAAGTGTGCACCCGTGTGTGCTGTGTGTGTGTGTGTATGTGAGTTTGTGTGTGTGTGTGTGTGTGTGTGTTTCATTTCTTGGTGAAGAGTGAGTATCTGAAGATACACTGATGACTACATGGTTTTTACCCATTAGGGGCCTAACAATATGGATAAGAAGAGATTGGAAAGATAGATGTTTAATTTCCTTTTATTTAAAATTCCAGAACTTCTCTGCTATCCCAAGCCTAAAGAATTAATTGTATCCTTAAACACTATTTTTGTTCTGGAAACATTTAAAATTTCCTTCAACTTCAGAGTGAAGGAGGACTTAGAAGAATGTTGTGTTTACCACAGAGGAGCCCCGAGCTCCCAAGCACTGGGTGCTTCCTCACAGCTTACTCTGTGGTATTAATATATTGTATGTACCTCACCAAAAGAATTACTTTAACCAAGAGAAGTTTCCATGATCATTATATTTATATAAAATTTAGGTTGAAAACACACAATGACATGAAAGCAGCAATATAACCAATAATTGTGGTTTCACTTTGAAAACCAATGTAAGAAATCTATGAAGCAAGTGAACTTGGAGAACAAAATATAATTTCTATGGTGTTTTCTTGAGAAAACAATATTGACAGTTTAAGATGTTGTGTGTTACCATTTAAAAAAAAACAGATGGAAAGGGAAAGGAATGAGCTAGTGGAAGTTGGTATACTAATTTGCTGGGATCACCACAGTAAGTGACATAGACTGAGCAGCTTAAACAACTGATCTGTAGTCTAGAAGTCCACAGACATGTTGTTGTCGGGGCCTATTTCTTCTGCCCTCTTGCCTTGGTGTGTAGGTGCCTACCATCTCACTCCATCTTCCTATGGCTCAGCCTGGATACACGCTCAAGGAAGTGCCTGGATTCTTTTTACTTAAAAGATCATCAGTGGTGCATGGGGCAGGAGAGTGTTGCTCAGTGGTAGAGAACTTACCTAGTGATGCAAAGGGCCCTGGGTTCACTCTCAAAATGGCAAAAGAAAAAGAAAAAATTGTCAGATTATATGATATTAGTGTTTATCCAAAAGACATTATTTTAAGCCAGGTATGGTGATGTGCCTAGAATCCAATTTCAAAACATCATTTTTTTTAAAGAGCTTATTTTACTTATTCAGACCTTTTAAAACCTTATATGTAAATACATTTCCATTCTGCACTCCTAAGGAGTAGGGCTTCCACATATGGAATTCCCATAACAGTTGATGGGAATACTGGCATATGGGCATGTGTAGGCATGGAAGTACAGTAGGTCCTCGCCATCTACAGGTTCCATGTGTGGGCTCAACCAGCTGCAGATGGAAAGCTTTAGAGAGTAAACTAATTATGCTTCTGCTGAACATGTCTGGCTTATTTTCTAGTCATCATAGCTTGACAATACAACATAAGTACCACTTACCTAACATGGACATGTTCTAGATGAGTTATTTAGGGAAAATCTGAAGTCTGTGAGAAGATGTGTGTAGGAGCTGTGCAAACACTGCATCATTTTATGTAGGGGGCCTTACCTGAGCATCTGTGGCTGGTGGTCCTTCAACTTCTTAAAGGATACTGAAGAGCTGACTATATGCATATGTTTTAGAAAAGGATAAGATAAAAATTTGAGAGTCTCCTGGAAATCAGCAAAGTGTATACCAGTGCTGACATGTTCTCTAAATAAGGAACTGAAGGCATTTTTTAAAATTACATTATAGTCAGAACTTCACCAAGACTCACTGTTGGGCATTTTCTAATTTTGAATTTTCAATGTTACATGTTTATATATGTGACCTAAAGTAAGAACTTTGAAAATCTTTCCTAGTAACTCTGCATAGTGCCTTGCATGCACCATGCCACTCTACCAAGTAAACAATATCTATCTCACAATTGAGATGGTTACAGAGTAGCTAAGTGAAAAGACTTGTGCTGAAAAAAGCATGAAAAATGTTTCCTGAAATGTGAGTTACACTTTCCCCCTAAGTTGCCTCTAAATGCCTAAATATGTTGATTTTGTCATTTTCATTACCAACATAACCCCTCTATGAAGGATTATGATGTTTTCTTTCTTGTTGGCAGCATAAAGTGTCAGGCTGTGGTGCTGAGGAGTGGAGTCCCACAGAGTACCTCCCCAGCCGACTCCAAAGGTTAAGTGTGATGGTTGATAAGACAGCAGCAACAGCTCACATAACATTCTTTCCATAGAGCACATTTTGAAGTGGGATCACCAAACTTTAGATTCATTATATGAGGCTGTGCTGGGTCTGATAAATAAAGAAGTCTACTCTTTGTTTTGTTCCAGGAAGACCATCCAAGAGCATGGTGACTGTGCCTTCATGCATAAAAATGGTATAGACAGTACCAGTTGTGATGACCTAAAGGACTATATTTGTAGCAAAATAGGCCAGTGCCCTTGAAGATTTCTTCCATCCAAAAGAAAATGAAGAGCAATGTCTTGTTTTATGCATGTTAAACCCATGGTAATGTGTTTTCATTTCCATCAACATTGTTTTTAAATCTAATTTGACTGATGAACATTTACATGAATTTTATCTTCATCGAAATAGTTATTAATAAGCCTATAGATTAAGCGAAATTTGAGATGGTACTGCTGAATCACCAAAGTTGGTGCATTTGAGGCTTGGGGAAGGAAGGTCCTTGCTCAGAAGTGATTCATCTCAGTGGAGTACAACGGAGGGCAGAGAGAAGAGAAAGGAAGATCCTCTGCTTGTCTGAAATCTGTGAAAATCTTCAGAAAAGAGAAACAAGGGCTGTGGGAGGACATGAACTAAAAAGTGTTCCATTTGCCCTTAACACATGGTTCATGTGGAATGGTTAACGAAGGCATGATGGGGAACTATTCTGATTCGGGGCCTTGTGTCATCACTGGAGACCAGGCAACTCTCCACAGGTCTCTAGACCCTCAGTCAAACTGCTAAACTGAAGAACTAAAGAAAACCTGGGTTTGTTGTTGCCATACTTGCAAAAAGAGCAAAGGAGGCAAGTTTTGTCGTGAGATAAGGACACAAGCAGTCGGACGTAGAGAGGAAAACAAAGGAAGGATCCTGGTGACCTCAAAGGACCTACGGAGACGAGCCTGGGTCCCCAAAGCTGTTTCAGATTCTGGCTAATATTGAAATGGTCTTGGAGGGAAGAGAGAGAAGAGGTTAACACTGGTCATCATTAAAAATCTCTTCAGCTACCACAGGTCTTCTCTCATCTCTGATGCTAGGGTTTGTTTTACATGTATGTGCAAGTGTGGAGAGGTAAAGGAACATAAACTAGAAAAGGGACTGTGGGTGGGGTGAAAAGCTCTGAAGGAGGAGAGAGGGTAATAGATACATGTGACGTGAAACCAGGAGGACCACCGCGAGGAAGGTTGGGACCATCAGGATGAGGACAGAGAGACAGAAGAGGAGAGTGGGGTAGAAGGACTTAGAACCTGAAACCTGTGCTGGCCTAGATAAGTGCCAGCTACTCCTCATCTTGGAAGGGAAGGCAAGGATCACGCAGCATTTAGGCAGCTTTGTAACTTAAAGAGTCTGGTTTGTCATTTAGTTTTCTGTGGTCAGGAGCATGGGTTTGCCTTGTGGAAGTCGCAATAGAGACAAGCTTGGGGAAGACAGGCACTGGTTCAGGTGGGGTGGGGGGCTCCTAGAGCAGTTTCCACTGGTGACGCCCACCTCTTCCTTCCATTCTTAGGAATTCTTTCCTCCATCTTTATGGTCTGTGAGAGTTGTCAACTTCCTTAATCGCAGTGTGGTATCATCTGTACATAATTATAATGGGGGGGCACTCATTGGTTTACAGGCTACATTAACTGAGGTGTGTTTACAATAGCCTTAGCTCAGGGCTTCAACTACAGTGTTTTGTTTCAGCTGTTCTCATCTCTAAAGTCATTTTAGCAACAAAGATAAGTCCACATTAATTGTTCACTACCCAGTAGATATTAATTAAAATACATAAAGCATAATTGATCATTTCCTCCAAGTAAAAGGATAAAGCATGTATGAAAATGTTATGATGAAACCCATTACTTTGCAGGCTTATTTACAAATTAATTTTAAAACTAAAATGTCTTGTGTCCTTTAGGCAAGGAGGGGGTATCACAGGCCTGTAATCCCAGCACTTCAGAGGCTGAAGCAGAAGAATGGTGAGGTCCAGGTCAGCCTGTGCTATGTAGTGAGACCCCATTTAAAAACCAAACTAAGGTGCTGGGGAGATAGCTCAGTCAGTTTAGTGTTTGTTGTGCAAACATGTGTTTTATTCTCCATCACCAGGTCAAAAGCCCAGCCTAGAAGCCTTGGGTCATAATCCCAGCACTGGAGTGTCCCGGAGAGGACTCCTGGGGCTTGCAGGCCAGCCAGTCTTGAACAAGTAAACTCCTGTTGGTTCCAGGGAGAGACCTCAAGGACTAAGGCATAGGGCTGGGGAGACGGCTCATTGTGTTTGCTGCTCTCGTGCTGTTCCTAGAATCCATGCTCAGGAACCCATCTCTCCCTGTACCTCCAGCTCTGTCTCACACCCTCTCCTGGCCTCCAAGAACCCCTGCACTGACCTGTTCCTCTTCACACATGCACAAAGATACACACTTTTTAAAAAAATTGTTTAAAAACGAATAAAGTGGTAAGCAGTAGAGTAAGACAACCAGTGTCAACTTCTTGCAGATGTACCTCCATACACATTTACATACTCATTTACATACATAGGTCAAACTCAAATGAAATTCTGTTGTTCAATATTTTACCTTAGCTTCATTTTTGTGCTCCCCAATATAATAAAGAATTTTGTTTTGAATATTAACATTTCCTACAAACTATGGTATTCGTCTACCCTTTAGTATTTTAGGTAATTCTTTGAGCAAATTAAAACTTAAACTATTTTGCCTGACATTACACTAGGTGGTAGAACCACATTTTTAAATCCCATTCCTTCTCATGCACAATGTAGATGCTCAATCAACAGAAAAAAAATAGAAGAAGAGTTTATCAACATTTTCATTTACTCTATAGAGTGGACTTCAATAACGCTTAAAATGTTAACAGGGGAAATAGAGTTTTTGTTAAAATAGAACTTACATGCTGTGGAAGAACCATACATAGTCTCGGGTTTCAGATTCTGAATGGGACTCATACATGCTCAAATTTCTTGTATGCTGGAGCTCTCCAGAAATCAATGCAGAGCAATGTCTATATCTGTGTATGATGAACCTGCCACCAAACTGTACTGAGACATTATATATATATGTGTGTGTGTGTGTGTGTGTGTATATGTATATATATGTGTGTGTATGTATATATATGTATGTGTATGTATATATATGTATGTGTATGTATATATATGTATATATGTATATATATATATATGTATATTAGAAAGAGCCCCAGGCTGCCCTATGGTGAATAGGACAGACTATGAAGGAAAAGATAGCAAACAAAGGGCCAGGGGTGAACTTCATGATGGTGATCATGCCTTTATGTAGAATAGGTGGGTGATTTTCATCCACTCCCAACTTACACCAATGATGGTGCCCAGAGTGGATCTCACATGCATATTGGATTACACAACTCAGAATTATTTTACATTTTATCAGTTTCCTTGGAGTGCTAACCAGAGACCTTAGAATGGCCAAATCATAATTGGACTGTTGTCTGAACTCATCTGTCACTACAATCTCCCTCCAGATGAGACCACTCGGAGAAACCCTGTCTTGAAAAATTAATAAAAGAAAAAAATATTTTTTTTTAAACTAAGCTCTTTTGCTGTCTATGCAAACATGGCTTGGGAACAAAAGGACACTGTTTTATGTGCCTGTGAGTAACCCATATAACATAATATAAATGCAATGGATAAAATAGTTCGTGAAAGAATTCATATAACAAAATCAAAATAATATATGAATATATATGTGAAAAATGTCTTGCTTTGCTTTGTTGAGACGGGGTCTCCTGCTGTAGCCCAGGCTGCCATAATACTCGTGAAAACCTTCTTGCTTTGGCTTCCCCAGTGTAGAGACCCTAGGCATATGCATATCTGACATGTCTGACAAACCCCATGATTAAACACCACTACGTTGCGTAAAAGAGTAACAGCCTTTCTCATGGTCATAAGTGTTAAGTATATAGAGACGATTCATCTCACTCGGCCGTGCATGCATGCATGCATTGATCTAATCAATATTAACTAAATATGTAGAATCTTTCAGATATTGGAGGTATATGGCTAAAACCATAATTATAAGAAAGTGATACCAGAGTTTAATTGTAGCAAATCTATTTTATCCATGTATCATAATAGCTTATGAAACATGAAATAGAAGCATTTGTAACTCTTGTTTTTATATTCTCAACATTCCTCGGCTTCCACACACTTGTTTAGAATACCATGTTGGTATCCGGATGCAGAAGGGGAAGGGTTGCAGGTAGGGTTACCCCGCTGGTCATTCCCCGCAGGAAGTTCATCTGGGATCAATAGCTCCTTGCTGATGTTTCACACGACCAGCAGGGGGCACTAGCAGGCAGAAAGTCTTCAATGACCTCACTGGGATTGTAGATCTATTATGTCCAGGAACATGGAATCATTAGGTAGTGGTTCTTAATTCACTGGCTTTGAGGGTTCTAGTAACTAGGCTAAATGTGTCCTTGAGGTATAAAGAAGCTATAGATTCAGTGTTATTTCTTTCATATTGATTAGGCGTTTCCGTTGATCATTCATCGCATCAGAATTGCCACACACTATCTGCTAAATGTCTCTGAAAAAGTTTCATCTTTTTAACTTTGGGAGATTATCTTCTCTTCCAAAAGTTACTAAAATATTTTAGATTTGAGGAGGCCAGTGAGATAGCTACTGGTAAAGATCAGGCATCTGAACCTAACCACTTGAGTTTGGTTCTTGGGACCCACACCATGGAAGCAAGGAGCCAAATCCTGCAAGTTGTCCTTTGGTCTCCACACACACTGTAGTGCCTACGTGTACATACCACACATACACACCAATTTTAAATGTCTAAATATTTTAAATTTTTTGCTTATTATTAAATGTTCTGTTAGATAAACAAATATGCATATCAAATTTATGAGTGGAAATAAGTACTAACCCTGTGGTATCAAAGCCAATTGTCCTCAGATGCATCTAGTTTTATTTATTTCCTTATGTTTTGAGACAAGGTCTTACTGTGTAGCCCTGGCTGTCCTGGAACTGACTGTGTAGACCAGGCTGGTCTTGAACTCACAAAGACTTGCCTCTGCCTCCTGGTTGCCGAGTCTAAGACCATGCTCTGCTTTGCCCAGGCCCTGAATAATGTTTATTAAATACTCTGTCAAAGCATGTGCTGCTAAGCTCTGCCTGGAGCCTCTGCATGATGCTTCCTGTCTTGCCAGGGATTCCTAGTCCGGAGTGAAGCCTCTTTCTCATTCACCATCTACTAAGGAAACAAGCGGGGCATGCCCTTTAGCTCAGCCAATAGCAGAGTTATGGTTACGGGGGCTAATTTTGCTCAGCCACACTGCCTTGCGAGACAGTTGCCAAATTGTCGCTCCAACTGTAACTACAACCTTTGTAGTTCTTAGTGTCTCTGTGGCTTCGACGGTGTTCCCAGTGTTCAGAAAGGAGCACCCAGCAAGCTGGGTTGTTGTATTCCCATTTGGGGGCCAGTACTGAGGAATTAACTCAGGATCTGAGCCATGCTATGTAAGTGCTCTACCATTGAGCTACATCCCAGACTACATTAAATTATGTATAGACACTCCCTCCAAAAGTTGGTTGAAATATTTTTTAAATGCCAGATAGCCTCTACACGTTTTATCATCTATCATCTATCTATCTATCTATCTATCTATCTATCTATCTATCTATCTATCTATCTATCTATCTATCTACCTATCTTTCTTTCTTTCTATCTATCTATCTATCTATGATCTATTTTCTTTTACTTCTTCCTTCTTTCCACACAATGTCTATTATGTAACTTAGGTTTCCTTTGAAGTGCAGTGGTTGCTATGGTTATACCTGACAATGTCAATCAAATTTTGGAGCTGATTGACAGAAGTATGGCACAGTTTGGTGCAGAAAACTAGAGAAGACTCAAGGTGTAGTAAAGGAGCTTGGTGCTTGATTCTTTTGGGACTCACGAGACCAAAATGATGAAAGAAATGGAGATAACAGTGATTATGATGAGGTTTCAGATGGAAATGAAGTTCTATTA